CCCCAGGCCCGCACGTACGTCGTCGGCGATCCGAGGCCGGGGGCGGCTCCCGAGGCCGGCGGGGCCGAGGGTCCCACCTCCGCTCGGAGGAAGCGCCGCCTCCCCGCCGTCTAGGGCCCTCGCCAAGTGGCTGCTAACAAAGCCCAGGGCCCTGCTGGGGGTAGTTGAGTGACAAAGTCGTGTCTGCTCTGCCCGCTCTCGCGGCTGCACGTTTCTCCACTCGTCCCGCGAAGCCGGAGCTGACAAGGCGGGAAAGTCACCGGCCGGAGCGTGGCAGGCCCGGGGTCACGTCTGGAGGCTGCCATGTACTTGGTGTGTGACCCATTTGTAGCATGTCGGATGCAGCCTGCCTGTCGGGGTTCAGTGAAGAGCGAGCGCAGCCTAGCACTGTGCCTGATACTAGGAGGTGGCGGGTGAAGGGTACTGTTGATGAATGTGTGTGTGTGTGTGTGTGTGTGTGCGTGTGTGTGTTTTAGATGATTTTGGCAGCACTTGCTCAACTGAAGTCTGAGTTACAGATTTTCTTATTCCCATTGTTTTCTGAGTGAGGCCATTAGCTCAAGCTCCAAAACCCTGGGTTTTCTGTTTCACCGCCCTGCTTCCATGACTTAGTCGTACTCCACGGAGGAAAAAACGCAGACTTGGAATTGATGCCACTTTGGAGGGGAGGGAGTCTTATCTCTTCCTGAGGAGAGAATTCTAAATAGTTAACCAGCTTTTTCCTTTCTACGTTGTTTTAACCCAGAACAGCGTGTTGACGTTAAATGCTATGACAGAGCCTCTGAAAATCAAACCCCAATGGGTTCCTCATAGATACTGCGAAAAACATTTCCTCTCAGATATTATTTACAAGACAGAAGACATATTGCGTTAATCCATGTGACATTTCTGAGAGTAAAAATCAGGATAGCCCTAACTCCAAGTGTGTGTCTAATGTTCTCAAATGTAGGGTAATTAAACAGTCCAAACTTCTGTTTCTCACCTCCCCCTGCAGAAAGCCCCTTTGTGAATTCAGCTAACCCTAATTCTCCAGACAGAGTTGGAAATTCACGATCCATCAACAAAAACCAGCCCCAACTGAGTCAGCCCGCGAGTTCTGCCCTCCTCTGCTACCTGCCTTGTTGGCACACCTGCCACTTTAACCAATTCTGAGTAGAAAGAGGAGGAACGGGCCAAATCCATTCTGTACACTAACAGGTGACTTCATTGGGAAAATGCAGACGCTACCGAGGACCAACTGTGCTTCAGCCACTGGGCTTACAAACACAAAACTGCCCTGATGATCTACCCAATAAAGATGAATGTGAAACACTCAGCGATCAGAGTATGATAGAGTTTGTGCACCAGAACTGGCTTTGCGTGTGGTATGACTTTCCTCCGCCTTGAGGAGCTGGGTCTCCAGGAGTTTTCTCTCAGTATCTGGGAAAAGGCAGCCAACATGGGAGGATCTGTGTAATGTTTCCATTATTGTTCAAGAGCTATGCATTTGGTTATAAGCTGAATTACACAACAGGTCCCTTTAAGCCGCTTGGTTTTTAGACATTGCAGTGAGGGCATGCACAGGAACATATATATATATATATATATATATATATATATTTTTTTTTTGACAGGCAGAGTGGACAGTGAGAGAGACAGAGAGAAAGGTCTTCCTTTGCCGTTGGTTCACCCTCCAATGGCCACCGCGGCCGGCGCGCTGCGGCCGGTGCACCGCGCTGATCCGATGCCAGGAGCCAGGAGCCAGGTGCTTTTCCTGGTCTCCCATGGGGTGCAGGGCCCAAGCACCTGGGCCATCCTCCACTGCACTCCCTGGCCACAGCAGAGAGCTGGCCTGGAAGAGGGGCAACCGGGACAGAATCCGGCGCCCCAACCGGGACTAGAACCTGGTGTGCTGGTGCCGCTAGGCGGAGGATTAGCCTAGTGAGCCGCGGCGCCGGCCCTAGGAACATATTTTTACATTTGCTTTTCTCTGACTCCTTTCTCAAAAGATAAGCAGTTTAGCCCTACCAACTACACTCTGTTCCTGCCCTATAAAAAATGATAGCTAAACAAAGAATAGCAATCATTGTGCTATGTCCCTTTACCTCAATTTAACTTACAATGTAGCCTGTGGGTGCCCGAAATTATATTTTGTCCAGGGGTCAGAGCACAACACAAAATCCATTCTTATCCTGCTTTGCCTCTGAAATCTGTAAAATACGGGGAGTGTCCCAAGTCAGTTTTTTATTTTTAAGATTTATTTATTTATTTAAGAGGCACAGTTACAGACAGAGAAAGGGAGAGACAGAGAGAAAGATCTTCCATCTGCTGGTTCACTCCCTAAATGGTCGCAATGGCCAAAGCTGAGCTGGTCCAAAGTCAGGAGCCAGGAGCTTCTTCTGGGTCTCCCATGTGAGTGCAGGGGCTCAAGGACTTGGGCCATCTTCCTCTGCTTTCCTAGGCCATAGCAGAGAGCTAGATCGGAAGAGGAGCAGCTAGGACTTGAACAAGCGCCCAAATGGGATACGGGTGCTGCAGGCGGAGCTTAGCCCACTACGCCACAGTGCTGGCCCCCCAAGTCAGTTTTTTAAAAGTATTTTCCACTAGGGCTGGCCCTGTGGTGCAGTAGGTTAATCCGCCTGCGGCACCGGCATCCCATATGGGCGCTGGTTCTAGCCCCAGCTACTGCTCTTCCAATTCAGCTCTCTGCTCTGGCCTGGGAAAGCAGTGGAAGATGGCCCAAGTGCTTGGGCCCCTGCACCCACGTGGAAGACTGGGAAGAAGCACCTGGCTCCTGGCTTTAGATCAGCGCAGCTCCGGCCATCATGCAGCTCCGGCCGTTGTGGCCATTTGAAGGGTGAACCAACAGATGGAAGACCTTTCTCTCTGTTTCTCCCTCTCACTGTCTGTAACTCTTACCTCTCAAATAAATAAATAAAATCTTTAAAAAAAAGTATTATCCACTAATGGGCTATGAGGGCCTGAATTAAAAAAAAATAAGTCCTCTTCCAAATAATACTGGAAACTTTTTAGAATAGATTTTTGTTAAAAATTAATGCATTTCTGGGGCCTGTACTGTGCTGTAGCAGATTAAGCTGCCACCTGCAGTGCTGGCCTCCCATATGGGCTTGGTTCAAGATCCAGTTGCTCCACTTCCGATCCAGCTATCTAGTTATGGCCTGGGAAAGCAGTAGTAGATGGCCCAAGTCCTTGGGCCCCTGCACCCCCATGGGAGACCCAGAAGAGGCTCCTGGCTCCTGGCTTCAGAATGGCACGGCTCCAGCCTATGCAGCCAACTGGGGAATGAACCAGCAGACAGAAGACCTCTCTCTCTCTGCCTCTCCTTCTCTGTCTGTGTGTAACTTAAAAATAAATAAATAAATCTTTAAAAAAATAAATTAATTTCAAATACAAAAATTTACAAACATACTACAAAACAAAATTAAGATATAAAAATGCTATCCATAATATTAACAGATAATGCTTAAATTAATCATGAAATAAGACAATATCTTATTTTGAAAAAAATTTTCCCTGTCACTTAAGTTTAAATCCCACCTCTTTTTATACCTCAGATCTTTAACTGGGGGTCAGAGACTATAATTTTTGAAAATTAATATGAGGCCGGCCAGTGGGGCTGGGAGCCTGTGGGTCCCTTCAGATGTAGCATGAGTGTCCCTCACAAGCAGGCTGCCAGCTGTGGCTGGAAAGCCTGTCTCCAGACCAACTGGCGTCTCCCCGACTACATCTCTTTGTGCTGTATGTGTGCCAACCTTGCAGCCTTAAATCACACCTTCAGGGTGGGTGCAAGCGTTCACTCTGAGCTGGCAGGGGAAGGGGCGGAGCCGCTGGGGAGAGTTGGACTGGCTCCAAGAGACCCTGGCTATCTCTTGCAACCTTTCGGTTTTAAACCATGCCTTCAAGTTAGTTAGTCTTCCACCTAGAGCTAGCAGGGGAGGGGGCTGAGCCCCTTAGGAAACAGACAGTCTCCAGGAGACCCTCCCCATCTCCTTGAGCCACAAGCCAATCAACATACATACGTGAAACCCCTGTTTAATGGGCACCGCCCCCCCATAGGATGACCCATGAGCAAATGGTAATGCCTTAAAAACCTGGGACACTTCCTTAAAGCCAGTGTCCTGCTAGGGTCTCCTCTCTATCACTTGCCAATCAAATAAAAGTTTCTGACTCTTTGCAAATTGTTTCCCGACTTTTTATTTCTATACTAAGCTGAGGAAAAGAACACACAAGACTCGATCCAACAACCACCCTACCCTGTGTGACCGGTAACATGACAGTGAGTTTGGCTTGAAAGAAGGCATTTGTTTTGTCTTCTGGATATTTCAATTGCCTCACATAAATGGAAAGTCTGATGCTTTTTTTTCTGATAATTTAATATGGTCATGTTTCTAGTACAGTTTGTCACAAAGCCTCTCTAAGCTAATACAGAGCTAAGACCCCAGGAAGGGGTACCATGGCTTCCACAGGACCCTATGGAGCTTGACCTATAGACTGTGGGGTTTTGTTTTTTCCTACAAACTGAATCTCTAGATGATGCAGATTTCCAAAAATGAGGATGCTTAAATAATCTTTTTAATATTTATTTTTCAACTGTTTGGGAGGCAGAGAGAAAGAGAGAGAGAGAGAGAGAGAGAGAGAGAATCTTCCATCAGCTGATTCACTCCTCAAATGCCTGCAACTGCCAGGGCTGGGCCAGGCTGAAGCCAGGAGGCAGGAACTCCAACCAGGTGTCCCACATGGGTGACAGGGGCCCAAGCCTCTGAGCCATCAGCTGCTGCCCTCCCAGGATGCATTAGAGGGAAGCTGAATCAGAAGCAGAGCAGCCAGGACTCACCTGGCACTGTGACCTGGGATGTCAGTGTCCCAACCAGCAACTTGCCCACTGCACTATAATGTCTGTCCCTGGCGGAAATTTTTCCAGCGATCAAGGAACCTTGGAAATTGAGGCATAAGGCTCTTCAAAAACAAACATGAAAAATATCATGGGGAAAACATTGGTAATAAAGAATCAAAAAATCTACCTAACATTATCTCCTTTAATTTTTATATTCAATCATTTGCTTTTTTCCTTCAAAGCAGTCATTCCTGAATTGGAAAGTTGAAGGCAGACCTATTTGTTATTATTTTAAATAATTACAAAATGAATTTGAATGAATGAATGAATCTGAAAATGAGGAAAGATGTAAAAGTACTTCCTAAACAAATGCTTCATATTCATGTTGGTTCATTTCTATTTTTGGAGACAGGTTGATGAGATGTCCTATAGTGGTATAAGCTGGAGTCCCGGCTGCTCCACTTCCCAAGAAGAACAACAACAAAAAATTGTTAGTTAGTTGCCAATCTTTTACCTGAAGCCCCCCAAATATTTTTGTGCATTGTATAAAGGCCAATATTTGCGTTAAATTGTTCTTGCTGGGGACCGGTGCTGTGGAGTAGCGGGTTAAACCTCTGCCTGGGTCACCAGCATCACATATGCACGCTGGTTCATGTCCTGGCTGCTCCTCTTCTGATCCAGCTCTCTGCTATGGCCTGGGATAGCAGTGGAAGATGGTCTAAGTCCTTGGGCTCCTGTACCCTCATAGGAGACCCAGAAGAAGCTCCTGGCTCCTGGCCTCTGGCTTCGGATCCGCCCAGCTCTGGCCATTGCAGCTATTTGAAGGAGTGAACCAGCAGATGGAAGACCTCTCTCTCTAACTCTCCCTCCCTCTGTCTGTAACTCTGCCTCTCAAATAAATAAGTAAATCTTAAAAAAAAAAAAAAAGTGTTCTTGCCCTTCCTCTAGTCCCCGTTGAAGCTCTCTGCCAAGGTGACATTTCAAAATGTGAAATCTTAGCTTTTCCTACAGCTTTCATATTTAGGTTTTGTTTTTTCAAAGACCTTTGACCTCTTTTTAGTCACATCAACTGAAGACACATATTCTCACACCATCCTAGGAAAAGAAAAGGAAGGAAAGGAAAAAATAGCTCCCGAACAGACCGCTGTCCAGGGTTAGTGCCTTGGACTGTTCTTCCCTGTTTGCAGGAGCCGGAGGCTGCTCTTAGAAGGCAAGGGATAGCAGCTGCACCCACAGTCAACCACAGCTCAAGTTCTTCGCATAGACTTGTTCTAAACACAATCGTGCATCCTGCTAGACCTGCAACTGTAAACCCGAGTATAAAGGAAAACAATCCGTCCCTGCTCTGTTTCTCATCCACCATGTTCAATACTCCAGAGCATTTCCCAGTGTACCTGGTTACTGGAGCCAAAAGGATTCTCCACTGGGGAATTCTGTAGTTATTCCAGCCAAGCTACAACAACCTACACCACTCCTTCCAC